ATTTAAAATTTCCTGTAAAATGGAAGGGTTTGATCAGCTGAACTGTTGACGTCACTGGCTAGAGAGAGCGCTGATTGGCCAGAAAGGGTATCGCCTGAACGCTCTCAGCCACTCAGCGGGCGCCGTGAACAATCCGTGTAATGAAAAAAAATTCTCCTTTTTAGGTATTTTTTTCCTGTGTATACAACTTGTGTATTTAGGCGGGATATCGACGCGGGCGTGGGTGATAGAGCGTAGCGTGGGGAAGGCGTGCATAACTGGAGCGTGGCTTGGTGTATAACTGGAGCGTGGCGTGGGGAAGGACTACAGAACTGGAGCATGGTGTGGGGTACAACTACATAACTGGAGCATGGAGTGAGGTAGGACTACATAACTGGAGCATGACGTAGGGTAGGAATATATAACTGGAGCATGGAGTGAGGTAGGACTACATAACTGGAGCATGGAGTGAGGTAGGACTACATAACTGGAGCATGACGTAGGGTAGGGATATATAACTGGAGCATGGAGTGAGGTAAGACTACATAACTGGAGCATGGAGTGAGGTAGGACTACATAACTGGAGCATGGAGTGAGGTAGACTACATAACTGGAGCATGGAGTGAGGTAGGACTACATAACTGGAGCATGACGTAGGGTAGGAATATATAACTGGAGCATGGAGTGAGGTAAGACTACATAACTGGAGCATGGAGTGAGGTAGGACTACATAACTGGAGCATGGAGTGAGGTAGGACTACATAACTGGAGCATGGAGTGAGGTAGGACTACATAACTGGAGCATGGAGTGAGGTAGGACTACATAACTGGAGCATGACGTGGGGGGTGGAGGTATTACCAGAGCCAGTCATTCGTTCCTTCAATCAGCCAGTCAGTCACTCATTCAGTCAGTCAGTCAGCCATAGAGCTAACTGACTCAGCCATTATCACAATACTAAGAAGGTCGATCCCATTAAAATCCGTCAACACTGTACAGTCACCTCAAAAAGTCCCTGTCCGCAGCAATCAGAATGGACCGCTGGAGTGAGCCCTGCGAGTCCTCTGGTTCAGTTTTGATTATCAGCCCATAGATGGCGCTTCATACAGCACGAGTCAAACACGGCGCCCAGTGTCTCAACAGGTGCAGAATTATTAACGCCCATCCTTTAAAAATCCTAAAACTATAATAAGTTTACCCTACTCATGTTTTCGGTGTTTAATAGTTGTTGGTGTTGTTTTCGGTGTTCAGGTGAGGAGGGATCCATAAACTCGAAAGTGATTCTTAAAATTTTTATAAGTTAAGGAAACGTTAGATCAGGTGTTGTGTTCAGTATTTTACCCCACATTTTCCCTCTACTTCAAAGCTCTGCCCACTTTGAACAAGTAATATTGTTGGTAATTTTATCGTTTAAAATACTCGTAAAATATAAATATAAAGTGTGCAGGAAACGCCATAGAAAAAAATCGATTCCTAACGAAAATAAGAATCGTAGTGATAATAGTGCAAAATCTATAATACCTATTGGGATATAAACGAATATTAACCTTATACTAGTGAACGTCTCGAGAAGAGTTACCACGTAAGTTTCCACATTATGTTGGGTCATCGTTTGGAACTAAGTATTGATTTTAGCTTTCTTTATTACATGTTAGATCTATGTCATTAATGTTATGTTGTAGTGTGTCAACATTTTACCACATTTTACATCATTAATATTAAGTGAGCAAAACCTGATGACTGTCATGTCTGTAAGGTGGTAACTTGGGAACTAGTAATTATGAAAGGTTAACCTAACAATGATCAGGTTAATATTGTATACCTCTAGTCTTTCACATCTTGGGTGTTATGATGTGATGTTAAGTTACAACAGGACATAATATGTTTACAGCATCTAATAAGTCCAAAGGCACGCGGACCTAAATATACAAAAAATAACTCTAGTCAGGAGTCGAACCCAGGACCTCCAAGTGAAAATAAAGGATGCTACCATGGTGCCTCAGTGATCTCAATAGATGTATTAACTTTGTTAGTTTTATACACAAAGTCTGCTCCACCGTCTTACTAGGAAACGTTCGTGAAATATTAACCAAGTTCATGAACTGGGCAATTTGTGTGAATGAAAAATAAAATAAAATTCACTGGGGTTAAAAATTTATTTAATTTTACATTTACAAGAAACGGTAACGATTCGGAAAGGCTCGACCACGGAAGCTACTAACAAAATAGGTTTTCCTACAGTGTCTTTTGTGGTGTTTCAAACGAATATGACCATTTCAGTCGCAAATGAGCCGTTATGGAGATATGACTCCCCTCGCCAATTATCAACTATATTGGTTACACAAAGTGGGCAGGGCTTTGAAGTAGAGGGAAATTGTCGTGCAAAAACGTTAATAAATCTACGAAACGAAACCTAACAGAACCTTCTGACCAGAGAAACTAGGAGGACCTGACCCAATTCACCCCCGTTGTGTAAAAAAACTTACTTTAATTAAGAGATGCTGGAGGATAAAGTGATGTTACCTGTAGGAACAAGTGGTGGAGAGATATAGTGTTGGTAATGTTCCTTCTCATTGTCGGCATGAATCACCCAATTCTTGATATTCTTCCACAATCGTTCTATATTTTGAGTATGAACGCCTGCAGCACTTCATAGAGATTGGCAGAATACCATGAGCCTTAAAATGTTAATGACAGCGGCTTCATTTCAAATACACGATAAATGGTTTGTTAAACTGAGATAGAACACTGGAGCAGAGAGAAGCTTTCATGCAACTAGCCACTAGCCAAGTGTCAACTAAAATTCGAAATTCTGAGCATGCACAGGAATATTACGTGACATCGAGAGCAACGCTGATTGGCTAGATACATCGAGAGCAACGCTGATTGGCTAGATACATCGAGAGCAACGCTGATTGACTAGATACATCGAGAGCAACGCTGATTGGCTAGATACATCGAGAGCAACGCTGATTGGCTAGATACATCGAGAGCAACGCTGATTGGCTAGATACATCGAGAGCAACGCTGATTGGCTAGATACATCGAGAGCAACGCTGGAGCAACGCTGATTGGCTAGATACATCGAGAGCAACGCTGATTGGCTAGATAGTCACGTGACACCCACCACGTGTGAGTCAGAGTGAACCAGCGTGTCCCACCAAAATATAAGTTCCGATGGAGACGTATTAAAATATTTTCCTCCTATCTCCCTCTATATACATAAATATGAAGTTCCGTGGTCGAACTTTTCCAAATCTTAACCAAAACATCAGTATGAGGTACACATGGAGAATTGTTAACCAACGTTTTCACATGATATATGACTATAACACTCACTGTTACAACGAAGGCCGCCTATCAGACGAGACCAGTTTGTTAGCCAGCTACTTCTACAGTGACACTTTCTAAATCTTTTACCTCGACAGATACTTCGTGTGGGACCAATAATTCCACTTTTTGTGCTTGTCCGTCTTGTAAATACTTCTTCCTTGTAAGGTACATCTGGTAAGGTGTTATTCATTACACACTGCACAAACCCAAGACCATAACTCCACCGGGCGCATTTATTATCACACCATCATCCAGTCCCCGGTTTTGGCCGCCCGGTGCACCTCTCACTACACCGAGGTTGATGACATTATCGGATCGCTATAGTTTGGGTATCCACTCGTTCGCTAGTTTAGGACGAGCTGCTGCACCGCTCCGAGCCCCTGCTATGCGACTCGTGCGTGGGAGTCAGACCACCACACTAAAATGTGATCCAATCTTTTCGTAAATATAGGACGTGAAACAGTTCTATACATTCCTGACGACGGGAGAGATTTAGCTGGTGGTGGAACATGTCACTTAGGTCGTATCTACTTTGACTATATATTATAATATTTGTTAATTGTATCTCGTGCATAAGGAGCTTTTATTACGCCTCTCAATTGACAAATAAGCGCTATTATACTTGTTTCATCATATTTATTTTATGTAAACCAGATTCACGTATAAACATGTTATTGATAAGAGAGAGAGAGAGAGAGAGAGAGAGAGAGAGAGAGAGAGAGAGAGAGAGAGGAATCATTTGTTTCTTCATAATTTTTTACTATTACATTCAGAACGGATTTATGTCTGTCTGTCTGTCTGTCTGTCTGTCTGTCTCTACTTGTCAGACCAAAATAATACCACGATAGCCATAACAAGATCACAACAGGAATAACAGGGGAACAGAACAACAACAAAATAAAAATAAACATGAAGAATAAAAAGAAAGAACAAAACGAAAAGAACAAAATAAAAGAACAAGAAAAAGAACAAAAGGAAAAAAATAATAACAGGGGATAAGAAAATAATACCAGAACACATCACAAAAGAACAAAATTAATAACAGTGTGAGAACAATGAACACTTCATAAAATAGAACATTATTCAGCTTGGAGATTGTGAGGAGAACACGTGATAATTGCCACTGTCGAACAGTGGAAATACCACGATGATGATGATGAAAGAAAAAGAACGACAAGAACAAGAACAACATCAACATCGAGAGAGAGATTCAACCCAGCTTAGCGAGTTTGAAACGTTCTCAATCACCTTCACTTACGCAAGAATCACCTTAACTTACGACCCTTTGTAACTCGGTGGCCTGTGTCCGAATTTACCAAGAAGAAAACATTAACTGAATTTCTAAATAATCCTACACATCCAACTTTCTGTTTTACTGTTTTAAAATAAAGAATTTAGACGTCTATACACACCTTCAGTTACGAGAGAATAAAAACAAAATAGGTTTAAGAATCTTTGTGACTTCAATGTCCAGGTTGAAATACGAGAAAAAAAAGACATGCGTTTTTTTTTATCTTCGTCTCTGTGAACGGTGAAGATCATTGTGATAAAGGTCAAGACTTGTGATAAAGGTCAACACTACCCCCACACACCGTTACCGCTCCCCCAAGGTGTCAGGCCTGGCGATAGAGGAGGTCAGCTAGTCAGAGGATGGTAGGTCAATCTGGGTCAAGTTTAAGATAATTGGACGATGGTTAAGACAAAGATGACCACATTTAGTAATAAGGTCAAAGGTGATTCTGGGTCAAGTTTAATATACTGGAAGGAGGTGGTTAAGGCAAGAGACGTGACATTTTAAGTTCAATAACAAGGTCGTGGGTTTAATCAGGTAATATACTCGTTACATAGGATCAGTCGAGGGTGATAGGTCATTCTGGGTCAAGTTACTATATTCGAACACTAGTAAAGACAACTCTACCTAAACAACCTAACCTAACCTAACCCCCTTCAAGCTCAGAAATAAGGTCAAAAGTTTAAATAGAGTAAAATTTCCTAATAAGAGACAGACAGACAGACAGACAGAAAGACAGAGAACAATATGAAAACAGGTCATCCCACTTAAACCTGTCAATCGACGACATAAAAGGTCAAGTTCAAGGTCAAAGAATGAATGAAAAAACTGGTTAGCCGACATTGTATTTAGACCAAAAGAAAAAAAAACAAGTTGAAAGTGGAAGAAACTGTAGGGAAAGAATGGAAGTTCAAGTTCAGACTGACGGTTCAAGTTCAAACTGACAGTTCAAGTTCAGACTGGCAGTTCAAGTTCACACTGACAGTTCAAGTTCAGACTGGCAGTTCAAGTTCACACTGACAGTTCAAGTTCACACTGACAGTTCAAGTTCACACTGACAGTTCAAGTTCAGAGTGAGAATTTAATGAGAGAAAAGGGTCAATTTTAGTATACACCTGACCTCTCTCTCTCTCTCCCTCCCTCCCTCCTTCCCTCCCTCCCTCCTTCCTCCCTCCCTCCTCCCTCTCTCTCTCTCCTCTCTCTAGACACATGTTCTACTCTGCCTCTTTCATCCTGTCTCGTCTCTCCTCCCTAACTAAGCCTCATCTTGGTACACAGTTAACCACGCCTCACTATATATTGGTAACCGCGTCCTCTCGTCAAAGAACTTGTCTTCCCGTTCTCTCACGCGCTTCCGGATGACTCCACGACTAGTGTGTTTTTCCTCCTCTTCTTCCTCCTCCTCCTCCTCCTCTTCTCATTCTTCTCCGTGTTGTTGTTGTTGTTCTTCTTCATTATTTGTGTCCTTCTCGTCTCTCTCTACCCATATTTCTTTTAATGCCTCAGGGTTCATCCTAATGCCTCAGGGTTCTTCTTAATGCCTCAGAATTCGTCTTAATGTCCCAGGGTACTCCCCCGTGATCCAGGTAACACCCCCGTGCCCCAGGTTACTCCCCCGTGTCCCAGGATAATTCGTGACAGGATACTCCCGTGCTAATACTCCCCGCGCCCCAGGATACTCCCCGTGCCCCAGGATACACCTCCGTGCCCAGGATACTCCCCGTGCCCCAGGATACTCCTCCGTGCTCAGGATACTCCTCCGTGCCCCAGGATCTCCTCCGTGCCCCGATACTTCCCCTTAACCCCAGGACAGGCCCCGTGCCCCAGGATACCACTCCGTGCCCCAGGATACTCCCGTGCCCCAGGATACTCCCGTGCCCAGGATACTCCTCCTTGCCCAGGATACTTCCCGTAACCCAGGACAGGCCCGTGCCCAGGATACCACTCCGTGCCCAGGATACTCCGCCGTGCCCCAGGATACTTCCCCGTGCCCCAGGATACTCCCCATTGAATACTTCCCTGTGCTGCAGGATACTTCCCCGTGTCCCAGGATATCCTCCGTGCCCAGGATACTCCCCCAGTGCCCCAGGATACTCCCCGTGCCCCAGGATACTCCCCGTGCTGCAGGATACTTCCCCGTGCCCCAGGATACTTTTCGTGCCCCAGGATACTCCCCGTGCCCAGGATACTCCCCCGTGCCCAGGACCTCTCCTCCTAGGATACTTCCGTAACCCCAGGACAGGCCCCGTGCCCCAGGATACCACTCCGCGCCCAGGATACTCCCCCGTGCCCCAGGATACTTCCCCGTGCCCCAGGATACTCCTCCTTGCCCCAGGATACTTCCCCGTAACCCCAGGACAGGCCCCGTGCCCCAGGATACCACTCCGTGCCCCAGGATACTCCGCCGTGCCCAGGATACTTCCCGTGCCCCAGGATACTCCTCCTTGGGATACTTCCCGTAACCCCAGGACAGGCCCACATGCCCCAGGATCCACTCGTGCCCCAGGATACTCCGCCGTGCCCCAGGATACTTCCCCGTGCCCCAGGATACTCCCCCAGTGCCCAGGATACTCCCGTGCCCCAGGATACTCCCCAGTGCCCCAGGATACTCCCCGTGCCCCAGGACTTTCCCCCCTGCCTCAGGATACTCCCCCCTGCCTCGGATACTCCCCCGTGCCCCAGGATACTCCCCCGTGCCCCAGGATACCCCTCTGCCTCAGGATACTCCCCCTGCCTCAGGATACTCCCTGCCCCAGGATACTCCGCCGTGCCCCAGGATACTACCCCGTGCCCAGGATACTCCCCCGTGCCCAGAATACTACCCGTGCCCCAGGATACTCCCCCGTGCCCCGGATACTCCCCGTGCCCCAGAATACTCCTCCGTGCTTCAGGATACTCCCCGTGCCCCAGGATACTCCCCGAGCAGGATACTCCTCCGTGCCCCAGGATACTCCCCGTGCCCAGAATACTACCCGTGCCCAGGATACTCCCCGTGCCCCAGGATACTCCCCGTGCCCCAGAATACTCCTCCGTGCTTCAGGATACTTCCCCCGTGCCCCAGGATACTCCCCGTGCCCCAGGATACTCCCGTGCCCCAGAATACTCCTCCGTGCTTCAGGATACTTGTGCCCCAGGATACTCCCGTGCCCCAGAATACTCCTCCGTGCCCCAGGATACTCCCCGTGCCCCAGGACACTCCCGTGCTTCAGGATACTTCCCCGTGCCCCAGGATACTCCCCGTGCCCCAGAATACTCCTCGTGCTAGGATACTCCCCGTGCCCCAGGATACTCCCCGTGCCCCAGGATACTCCCCGTGCCCCAGAATACTCCCCCGGCCTCAGGATACTCCCCCGTGCCCAGAATACTCTCCCGTGCCCCAGGATACTCCCGTGCCCAGGATACTCCCGTCCCAGAATACTCCCCCGTGCCCCAGGATACTCCCCCGTGCCCCAGGATACTCCTCCTTGCCCAGGATACTTCCCGTACCCCAGGACGGACCCCGTGCCCCAGGATACCACTCCGTGCCCCAGGACATCCCCGTGCCCCAGGATACTTCCCCGTGCCCCAGGATACTCAGTGCCCAATGCTTCCCTGTGCTGCAGGATACTTCCCCGTGTCCCAGGATACTCCTCCGTGCCCCAGGATACCCCCCCGTCTCAGATACCCCCGTGCCCCAGGATACCTCCCGTGCCCCACTCCCCCGTGCCCCAGGATACTCCCCGTGCCCCAGGACACCCCTGTGCCCAGGATACTCCCCGTGCCCCAGGATACTCCCCTGTGCCCCAGGATACTCCCCGTGCTCCAGGATACCCCCCAGCCCCAGGATACCCCCCCGAGCCCCAGGACTCCGTGCCCCAGGATACCCCCTGTGCCCCAGGATACTCCCCCAGCCCCAGGATACCCCCCTCTGCCCCAGGATACC